GAAATGTGTCGATAACCACGAGTACATTGATGTGACGTGGTTCGAGATACGTTCTCACAACGTCGCAATTCTCTGTTAAAATAATAATAATAATAATAATAATAATAATAATAATAATAAAAATAAAAAAAAATCGGTAAAGAGTTAAAACTTGCATATAAGCTCATAATTGTTAAAATCAGATAAATAAGCCGAATGTGATAGTTGAGCGACCGTGCCAGAACCACGGAACTCGGGAATGCCTAACACCTTCTCCCGGGTTAACAGAATTCCTTATCCGGACTTCTGGATCGCGGACTGTAATACAGAGTCATTCGTTTCCTCGATTCGGGATTAAACTGGTGACTTGGGACACCCTAAATCTCCCAAGTGGCGACTCTAAAATAAATAAACAAATCCCGTTTCGATTGTCCTTTAATTGGAAAAACTCCCTTTGCGCCTCTTGCGGGAGCGGGTAAAAAGGAGGTGTGACACATCTCATACCAAATTTCGTTTTGGGAGTTTTGTTCTCATAACCAATGATTTAGCTATAATTGGAGGCATACAATTTCTGCTAACCCAACTTGGATTTAAACTAGTATTATTAAGATAAATCATCATAGTTTATATTCTGGAATTGCTCTAATAACTTGAGCAAGCAATCTTGCAAAAGTCAAACTGCAAGTTGATAACAAATGCACATGTGACCATAGAATAGATGCATTTATTAAAATCATATAATAGTAAACGGTCCACATGGCAGGTGACTGGGCCCATATATTTATCACCTTTTATTCGTTCCAGAAATCAAGGGATTCAATCCCAACCTTAACTGGCATATCATGAGAATAAGCAGCACAAGAGAATTCTTGAAGAATCTTCTATTCTTCAATATATGTCAATGTAATTCTTACTAATTAATTTTTCGCATCATAATTGAACCGGGATGGTCAACCGGTTATGCCAACTAATATTTGTTTTAGTAAACCTCTAGTTTACTTGTGGCATATGATTTCATCATCATGCTTATATTTGTGTAGTACAAATAGAAAGAAAATTGGGTAACCTTTCATATTTACCCAGTATGATTATAGAAATATGAAGATATTCAATCTTCCTTTCATTTATAGTCTCAATATACCAACCACTTTGACTTATACATTTGAAATTCAAAAAGTTTCTTTTGAGACTTTACAATATCAATGTCATAAAAAATTTTATTCATCCGGATAGTAACAAGTTAGTTTTTCTGGAGCTCTTAATAACTTTTGTACTACAAGATCTTTTATCATACCATTCATATGGTAAATATCTCCTTCACGGAGAAGCTTATATCATAATAAATTGTCATGGTCAGAATTATCATAAGCAAAATTATTTCTTGCTTTAATTTTACCTTTAATAACTTTTATAAGGCATGCCAAAATATTTTGGCGTATCACATGTACGATACCAATGATATATTCATGTAACCACACAATAATATTTATTCTCTTTATTTCACTCAAACCTCCCTTAGAGGTGAGTTGTGTGGTATTCATATAATCATGAATTGCATGTCTTTATTTATTGCTTTTATCACATATTACCACATTCACCTTTAGGAATGGGACTACATTCTCAATGCTTATCACAAGTGACATTCTCTTCAAGGAATGAATCGTAATCAGCGACATGCTTTATTATTTTCATACCAATTTGATGGCAAACATTGCCTTCACATTTTTAAGGACTATTTTGAGAACCCTTATTATTCTCCTTTTATAATCATAGTAATGATTATTATTATTTTGATCTTTGGAACACCCACGTTCGTTGTTCAACCATTTGTCTTCATTTAAACTTATTATGCACTGCTACCACATTCACTTCAAGAATGGAGCAAATCAAGTGGGACAATCTTCATGCCTTTAATGAAAAATATATTATTTTTCTTTAGTCATCATTATATCATCAATATGGTATAGTGGGACTCAAACCCAATGTCTTACCAATATAAAGGCATATTAGGCCATAATAAATTGGGACTCAAATCCAACTCTTATCATTATGGAGCATCATGAATTGATCCCGATGTCTTACCCTCAATCAATGGCATAATAGGCTAAACGATATTGAAATTCATTCTCAAGCCTTAATTTCAATCACATGCCAATAAAGTTGTACACAACTAATTTGCAACTTAACAAATCAAATTTGTTTTCTTAAATAAGTGTACAAATCTCAAATCAGCATAACTCTTTATCAATTATTTGTAGCATCTATATGAAATACAACCGTTTGTAGTCAGAATATTTCTTTTAAATTCTATTAGAGTTTAAATGGATCATAAAATCATTGTCATAATATTTATTGAGTCTCACTCAAAAATATTATTGTTTTCAGGGTATACCCTACCTATTGGATTTGATTTAACGCCATGACTTTCCTTCACTCAATTCAACCAAGCAATTAGTGAATAAATTTATCATAAGTACAACATATAGGTAACAACACATATATAGTACTAATACATAAATTCAGCATTTATATTACCTGAAAAGTGACATTATAGGTAACAACTTACCAGTTGTAGTTTATGCATCATTCATGTAAGATACTTGAAAATGGTAAGTCAGTAGCAAGCATCAAGTAGATCATGGATACTCGAAAATACCTCTTCTAATAGTCATACTAATCACTATTTTCTTTCAAATGATACGACCATAAATTATGAAGTATACTTTCTCAGTAGCTTATTTGTTTTCCAAATTTCAAATAAGTAATTAATCAACCTAGATAAAGATGTGAAGTATTTCTTGTTTTCTTCAAGATGATTTACGCTTCTAATCAGTATGATATTTTTTTTATTCTCCCTTTTTTTTACTATATGCAAGTGCAAAATCCAAAAGGAAAAAATATTCATCCAAGTAAAAGAAAATGTTAAAAGCGGTAGGACAAATTTAAGATAGTTAACACACAAATATGCATAAGACAACTTATATAGGCATAAAAAGTGAAGAAAATATGTCATTGAACATACAAAATATGTCATTGAATATGTCATTAAGCATTTGAGATGAAGATCATGGAAGAAGAGTAGACGTCCACCATAATGTGATATTTATCATAACAAAATTGGATATAATATTTTAGCGAGCGCCCAATAGACAAAATGACTGATGGGTGCTGTGGTTCTGATGTGGGAGTTAAAGCCTTTTCAGAGTACGAACACCCAGGTTCGAATCCTTGTCACTGCACCTCTCCATATTTGTTAGCTTTCTGTCTTTTGTGGAAAAGTTTTTCACTTTTCCTATTCCCTTTAGGTTTTAGGGTTGTCAGCGACTTCTTTAGCTTTTCCTTTGCTTTTGAACTAAATTTTCTATTTTTGGTTTTTTTTCTCCTTTTCCTACTTCCTTTCACCTTTAGGCTTTATTATATTAATTGGATTTAGGAATAAAAAAGGCACTGTTTCCAGAAAACTTTAAAACTAAACTCTTCTTGAGTTTTTGTTTATTAGGAACGTAGAGAAGGGAAAAACAAAGAACAAAGTAAACGAAAAATTAGCAAACTCTCCGGTCATTCACAACAATCTCAAAATCAGAACATAGCACAAGGTAATAACTAATAAGATTTGGTATTTTTATTAAAGTAAGAGATTAAAAATATTCTGTAGAAGGATTTTGAATCTTTTTCATGCTTATTGTTTATTCTTTGAAAGCAGATTCAATGAGAAATATTATCTTTGTGCACTTATACTATGCAATTGCTAGCAATTTTATGTTGAAGTGAGCACTCACGATCTTAAAATCCTAGATCCGCCACTGATTTAACCTATGTCTTTTATACCCATTTAACCCACATGATAACCCATATCCTTTATAAAATTATATTGACATTTGTTGAAACTAAAATATAATCAGACGAAAGATAAAATAGTATTTATATTTATACTGGAGTTATCTTTATAATCACAGTAACTAAACGAGAAACACAATGCAATGCTCGCTATTCTTCAAAGTTACTGGTTTAGTGATCTTATAGTAACGTTTTAGCTTTCTTTTTGATGATTGTATCCTTTAGAATTTTCTCGTCATTGGCACGACAAACAATACTAAATTTTTAGTACTTGCAGCTATAACCACATGGCCGCGTGAAATGTGAGGTTTCCCTAATGTCTACTAATCAAACAAGTGAAAACCAAACACATGTCTGATGAAGGATGTTGTGAGATTGTATTGGGAAAACATATCGAAGATGACGTGTCATGACACGTGGACTGGTCAAAAGGTCAAAACGCAATAAACAGTTAAGAGGCACGGGAGACAACAGATAGGGGGAAGAAAACAACATAGGTGTGGACCGTTACTCAAATAGGTACGAGTCTCGTACCTATTCGAGTCATTTAAAGACCGAAGATCGGAAGAAGTTGAAGATATGAATCTGATGACGTAGAAGAGTCTAAATACAACATTAAATATCAAATACGTTAGAAAATTTGAATTAAATAGAAATGATTGTGTAACGTTTCTTTTAATGTCATTTATTACTCATAATTGCCTCATTAAGACAAAGGCATTACATCTTCTCCTAGAATCAACTATAAAAGGAGAAGGACTCAACATCTGTAGACACACGAAATATTATTGAGATTACATTGGAATAAAAAACTACTTATTACTTTATTATTCTCAAAAATCTTCTATTATTTTCGTCTCCAGATTATCAGTAACCCGAATTTCTCTTTATTTCTAGCTTTGACTAAAGACTCAGATTTTTGGTTAAACAAATTGGTTCCGTTACCGGAAATCTGATAATCTTTTCTTTTAAGCTACGTTCTATCCGTTGTTATCATCATGTCAAACAACAATAACAACAACAACAATAACAGTGAAAACACCTTGGGAAACAATGAAAATCAAATCCATCAAAATCAAGGGGATTTACAGAATATTGACGTGGTTCCCTCCCCTCAAAATTCACCACGTCAATCTCGCGAAGGCACTCCTGCTCCTGAATCTCGTGCTGATCAACAAGAGCAATCTGAACATTTTGAAGGGGCAGATGAAGCTTTACAAAAAGTAATTGATGCACGGGTTAGCAAAGCTCTTCAGGCTCTAGTTAGTCGATTACCTGTTGCACCACCCACACCTACACCTAATAATAATACATTGGAGAATCCTCGTTCTGGCTTTGTTAATTCTGGAAATGGAGGAACCCCCAGTGAACCACAGGAAGGAGAACCAGGTAATTCAAATAATTCTCATTTGCAAAATTTAGTACTAACTTTGCAGAAACAGCTTAAGGAACAGAATGAGCGCATCGAGCAAATCCCTGGAGTTCCCCCTGTAATCAAAGGAGTGGATGTGGATAAATACTCACAGCAACCTTGGAAACCAAGTGCTGATCCCCTTCCAATCCCTAAAAAGTTCAAAATGCCTAACATCTCGAAATATGATGGCACAACAGACCCGCGTGATCACGTAACTGCATTTACTACAGGTGTAAAAGGCAACGACTGAACCAAGCAAGAAATTGAATCAGTGTTGGTCAACAAATTTGGATAAACACTCACCAAGGGTACATTAACCTGGTATTCTCTTTTACCTGAAAATTCTATAAACTCTTTTGCTGAGCTTGCAGATTCTTTTATTAAAGCACACTCAAGAGCTCAAAAGGTTGAAAAAAGAATGGAAGACATTTTCAAAATTAAACAAGGGGACTCATAGTTGCTTAGAGATTTTTTTGATAGATTCCAACGTAAGAGGATGACTTTGCCTCGTGTACCTGATAACTGGGTTACAATAGCTTTTACAAGCAACTTAAATGACAAAAGTTTAGAAGCCACGAGAAGACTTAGAGAAAGCCTTCGAGAGTTCCCTGCAACCACGTGGAATGACGTTTATAACAGGTATAGTACGAAGTTGCGAATTGAGGAAGATATTGTACCTCAGTTTCATCATGAAGAAAGGAGCAAATCCAGGAGATCAGAAACATAAAAAAGATCAGGTAAAAATAGGTACGATCCATACATGGGACCTGTGGGGAAAGACTCACGGTCAAAGCAGGATAGTCAACGATATGATCAAAAATCAAGGAACAGGGAATCTGGTTCTTCATCAAGGTTCAGAAATGACCGAAACAAACAAGAGTCACGAGATGATGATAGAAGTTTAAAGGCAAGGTTCGGTGGATATAACTTTAATGTCACTACCTCTGAGCTCGTAGCTGTTTTGAGGAGCATGGGAGATAAGTACGATGGCCAAAAGAGATGCGGTCAAATCCAAATAGGCGCAATCCAGACTATTGGTGCGAATTCCACAATGATCACGGGCATAAAACTTCAGAATGTAGATTCTTACAAATTGAAGTGGATCATCTATTGAAACAAGGGTATATCACTGAGTTATTTAGTGAGAAAGGTAAGTAAGCCTATATGAAAAATAGGCAAGAGCCACTAAAGCCCCCTTCACCCAAGAGAACCGTGAACGTTATAAGTGGGAGAGAAGATATTCACGGTGTAACATATACAGCTTCCAACAAAGTTTCTAAAGTAACGATAACACACGGGAAACGGGTACGACAGGTTTTAGAAAACAAAAGTATTTCTTTCGATGATGCAGATACCGAAGGAGTAATGACCCCACATAACGACGCACTGGTAATATCTTTACTTGTACATGATACTAAGGTAAAATGAGTTTTGATTGATCCATGAAGTTCCGTAAATATTATACTATTAAGGGTATTACGTGAAATGTAAGCTGAAGACAAAATGATACCTAAGGCGCATACCTTGTCCGGGTTTGACAATTCAAGTGTGGTAACAAAATGAGAGGTAATTCTAACAACTTTTGCTGCAGGTGTTGTTAAAGAAACTAAATTTCAGGTAGTAGATATGGAAATGGCTTACAATATGATCATGGGGAGACCTTGGATCCATGATATGAATGTTGTCCCATAAACTCTACACCAAGTTATTAAATTCCCATTACCGTGGGGAATTTGCCAAATTCATGGGGATCAGCAGACAGCCAGGAGTATCAACACTGTAATAGATACGAGCACCATGAATAAAGAAAAATAGCAATTACATGAAACAGTTGAAGGTATCAAGGATCAAACCTCAACTGAA